AGCCGGTCGTGCCAAGGCCTGTTGTGCCGAGGCCTGCCGTGCCGAGGCCTGAGAAGTGACCCAGGTGCAGATGCGGGTCTCAGCGGCCATTAGGCGGAATAGTGCGAGACGATGCGCCTACTGTGGATACTGTACCTGTTTGTCGATGAGGGATGGTAAAAAGGTGATCGACCGTTGTCCGTCGCTCTGTTGCGGTATACTTGCCGATCATGGCTTACGTGGCGGGTGTGCGGTGGCGCGTAATCGGATCTGACGACCGCCAGAGAGACCTTTGGGGCGGAGGCGACGAGGTTGCGGGATGAGCCCGGCCTTGGGCTAGGCGGAGCGCGGCCAATTCATCCGAGGCCCTACCGGGGGGGTCTCGGGCGAGGCGGATGGGCGCGGCGGAGTAAGATCAGTGAATCCGAGGCCCTGTCGAGGGGGCTCGGGCGAGCCAGAGCAGTCGGTCCGCTGATTCCGAGGCTCTGAGGAACCCGCTCGACTCCCCACGTTATGGCGATGTCCTTGGTGCGAGGAGTTAGGCAAAGACAAGGTGGTCGGTAACCCCGCTCTGTCGTCGCGAGATGGCGGAGGTTGACGCGATCAAGCGTGTAGTCGATCATTCACTTGTCTTGTGCCATCGTGCGTCTATCGAAGTGGTTGGGCGCTTGGATGCGACGTTCGGTCAGAGCAGTTTGGTCGAAGAGGCGGTCACGGGGTTGGTGCCGAGCCGGCCTCGCGCGAATCGGAGAATCGGCACTTCTTCCGAGGCCCCGGGCGAGGGGGCCTCGGCGAGTCGGTCTCGGGCGAGTCGGAGAATCGTTAAACTTCACTGGGCTTTGGCGACGGGGTCTCGGGCGAATCGAAGATTTCGGCCGAGACCTCATTTGTTTATTTCGTTGGTTCTGTTCTTAGGGTCTAAGTATTTTTTCGATCTTTGCTTGGGGTACCCCATTTTCTGGTATCCGACAGATGGTAAAATAGTTCTCATTGCTCAACCCTTGCTTGAAGGTAGTACATGTGCTTACCTAGAATGGTTAGCTAATGATGTTATTATGACTGCTAATTAAACTAGATCTTAAGGACGTACTTCTAGAAATGCTTTTCGCAAACAAAAAGAAAACAGCAAACCCATATTGCCTATCATACCCCTTGGAGTCGGGAAACTATTTCCACTAGTCGGATAAGTCTTGCAGTACATTGTGTACTCAGGATTTATTTTACTCTGTTGTAGGTGCAGCTTGAGGAGTAACTCTTGTGTGGAGGATTCTTCTGGTGGGCATAGACGGATCCTTGTATCGTTTCCACTAGTTGTTTATTTGATTCTGCTGTTTATTTATCGCACTCTGAACTCTGGTATTGTAATAAATAATTTTTAAGACCTCTAGTTGTATGAAATGAACTAAGTATTATAAACTAGTACTCATTATTGGATTCTGGATGTAAAATGTGGATTATTTTGAGTTCTCTCTTGGGGTGTGCTCGACGGAACTGTCCGAATTAGCTCTCTCTCGGGCGCTTAGTGTCTAGTGGAAGACAAACGCCTTCGATAAGCGTGTTATTTCGGGCGATTCTGCCATAGGTTTTCACCTGCAAATCCAAAATGGGCAGGGGAAGAGGTATGAGAAGGACTCCTCCAAGGAGGAAGCAACGTCCGCAGACATCGTCGTCCAGGCTTTCGCCATGACCTCTCACCCCACGCACCTCCACCGCCCGCCAATGGCCACCGCAAAGGAGGCAGTCATGAAGGAAGGCACCAGAGATGAACGCGGGCGTCCCCGGCGACACCCGATGCCACTACGCGTACCACGAGCGTCCTCGCAACAAGCGTAGCCGCATGATGACGCCCTCGACCAATCATAGAGACGGGTCATGGAGAGCCAAGGGGAGCTGAAAGAAGGCACGACCGTCGCCCCGAGAAGGACAATGGGTAGCCGCAGCCACCAACCAGCCAAGAGAAGAGACGGATGAAGCACGCCGAAGAGGATGCCGACCGCCGAAACCAGCCGAAGCCAGCTAGCAGCAAGCCGAACGGGGCAGCGGCAAGGGGGAAGGAAGATGACGGGGAGGAGATGGGGGCTAGGGAAGTTGAGGTAGAAGCCCTAGCCGTCTAGCCTGCCAACACCCCCCCGGGCCGCACCCGACCGCCCTCCACGTGGCTCGGCCGCCGTACTCGCAGATCCAGCCACTGGCCACCCGGGACTGCCACCCCGTGTGGATCTGGCCGCCACCCACCATAGTCCGCCGGAGCCTGTGCCAGCCACCAGAGACCAGCCAACCCTCGCTCAGATCCGACCACCGGGCATGGGATCCTGCGGCGGATCCAGCAGCCGCCGAACTCCAGAGCACGCTAGGCAAGATGTCCACTGAGCAAGAGAGAGGAAGGAAGAAGAGGAGAAGGACGAGGAAGCCCCGTCGCTGCCCTCCTTGCTGCTCGCCGGACTTTCGGCCGGCACTCCGGCGGCGGCGGAGGCGTCACTAGGGTTTTGGGGACGCGGGGGCGAGAGGCTAGGGAGCCGCTCGAGCCGCCCCTACTGGACGACGCGGGGGCGTTATGTTTACTTGGTACGACTTCCTCTTACTAACTGTCTCCAACAAGAGACCTATATACCCAAACCCAAAATGGGTAACAGAGACCCAAAATCAGCCTCCAATAGACTACCTATACGTGAGACTAATTTTGGATTGCCTAAGAGACACAACCCAAATATGAGCATCATCGCTCCTGAAAACCTATTTACAGAAATAATTCTCTTTTGGGTCCTGTTGTTGGAGAAGATGCCGAATGAGTATTGAACCCTTTGCTGTAGCGCTACCCAAAGGTCAAATGGGTCTTGTATTTTGGGTATTATCGTTGAAGATAGTCTTGGGTAATGTCAGCCAAATGTCTTCAAAGTCTACTTTTATGATGGATAGATGTTTGGAGTATGATGCTAATGTCTTACATGAGAAATAGTGATTTTCCTGATACCGGGGGATAATCAAAGTTGTCATGTACCACTGTACCAACCCAAAGTGTACTTGAAAGACAAAAGTATACCAGCCCAAAATGTGCCTTGCATTGATTAACTTAATGATTATGGCATCTTCAGTAGTAGCATTACTTAATGGCTGTGGCAGAATTGTCAGTCTGTCATAGAGCATGACGCATGTTCAACATGCAGCATTCAAAACTTATTTTTATGATGTTCTGGGCATGAACTAAGTGCTGCATATCTTTTGAAGGCTTATGCTATCTATAACAACAACATCTAAAATATAAGACCTATATGTCTTTTGGATAACGCTACAGGCAAAAAGTTCAATACATATTTTGCATCTTTTCCAACAACAAGATCCAAAAGAGAATTATTTCGGCAAATGGTTTTGCAGGAAAGAGAATGCCCATATCTGGGTTGTGCCTCTCTGGTAACCCAGAATAGGTCTCACGTATAGGTACTTTGTTGGAGATTGATTTTGGGTCTCTTGCTATCCATTTTAGGTTTGGATGCCTATATGGGTTTTTTTGTTGGAGACACTCCTACCAGAAATGGATCTTGAAGACAATTGAAGAGTCGTGGAATTTGTTCCCAAAAAAAAAAGTTCGTTGAACTATGGAATAAACACAAAGAAGGGAATGGGAGGCGTACCTGCCTGATATATACAACAACTCAAAGCTTTTGAGCGTTGCTCAGAAGAAGTCCATGATAGCCTTGGGTTTGGTTCAGCCAAAATGATCAGGTAACTGCAAATTAGATTTATGAATAATGTTTTTTTCTTAAAGAGAATATTTCTAAATAAAATCACTTTCTCTTACTAACTGGTGGACTGCTATGAGATATAATAACTGCCTTTTTTACTGAAATGACAAAACATACTCAGGTCAAATAATAAAAAGATTTTGGATTTTAGTTTTGATGTAGCATCTTTCTCTCTTTTGGTGTAACTGTGTCATACACCAAAGTTTCTGAAGTCAGCTTTGGTGAAAAGCGACTGAGAAGTAAAAAATGGTTATGTTTGGGCTCTTTAGGCATGCTGTGCAGTAAAAAGTTTGTATATAATTTCCAAAGTGTTTGCTCGTCACTTTTCCAAATGACAATGCCTTCTCACAAGAACTATAAGCCACATTTTAACACCAGTTCCAAACAGTATGCATGTAGTTTCTTTTGTTTTGCATCCCCACCTGATTATTGCTTCCAAATTTGCGTTCTTCTGTATGTAGGAGAATAGTCGGAATCGCTCACGTCGAGGATCTCGAGTCAATTAAGGATGCCAGCAGGAGAGCAGAGTGCGAGCGTGCTGCCCTCCATTGTGCAAAGACGATCCTCAAGGGAAGACGCCTATTTGAGAGCATCGTGCAAGTCATTGAGCATATTCAATCGTTTGATCAGGACTGAGAAGACGGCAGTCTATTTGGCCCTTAAGGAGACATACTTCCGTCAATTAACCTACGAATACCTGAGTATATTGAAGAATAAAGCGTCTGTTTTGAAGCAGACCGGTTGTTTATGCTTTCTCTATCGGGATTATATGATGAAAAAGTACCCATTCGTGGTATCCTAGTTTGGACTGTGTACACTGCTAGAGTAGTAAGATCTCATTCTGGCAAAGGGAAGAGCTGAATAAGGAAATGTACGCGTGTATTACCAATAAATTTTGTTCTGATGTTTCTTTGCAAGCTTTACTGTACTGCCTTGTTATTGTCTCCGTAATTAATCTTGATCTTGGTAAATAAAACCTGTTGTCGTACATGTCGTCTAGTAGGAGGATATACACATCTCCAAAATCAGGTAACCAAAAGGCGAATGGCGATGGTATTGGTATGCAGTTGGTTTGGTCAAAGTCAACTCGCCGTGGCAAGTCAACACGCGCCGTGGAAAGTTCATTTGAGCATGGTGGCTATGATGTTGCTTTACGGGGAGGAGGACGAACCGAGACTAAGTTCATTTCACCATCTTCTCCTCTCGATCGCTGCCCTCAAGCTCAAGGGTTCCCCTGGTCGTCGTCTCCGTCCCCGAGCTCAGACTCAGACAGTCAGACAGATGGAGGAGGAGCGCCCGCCCGCCGCGGGGTCCGGTGGCTTCGTGGTGTGGCTGCACGGGCTGGGCGACTGCGGCCGCGCCAACGAGTTCATCGCCAACCACTTCTCCGCGGCCGCCTTCAGCGATGCCCGCTGGGCCTTCCCCACCGCGCCCACCGCCCCCGTCACATGCAACCGTCGGTGCCCTCGCCATCACGACGCCTCCGGCTTCGGTTCGGGCCACTGTTTGCTCCTCGTTGCTTGCTGCTGACCGCGATTCCGTGTGCTAAATTGGCAGGTGGCATGCGCATGCCTTCGTGGTTCGACATCCACGACACGCCCATTACTTCAGTAAGCCAAAATCGATCTTGTTAGTTTTTACTCGATCCAATGCTCATGGTCTAATACTGCAATGCGCACGCACGCATGCGTGAAGAAATCTGTCAGGGGTGAGGAGGATGTGCTGAGAGCTGTCCAGATCGTGCACACTATGATCGACAGGGAAATCGCGGCCGGGACAGACCCGGGAGACGTGTTCGTGTTTGGGCTCAGCCAAGGAGGTAGTAGAAAATGCCTGTATTTCCTTTCATTCTACGTAGAACTTTTCCATGTGATTGAACACTGAAGCAGACCGTGCTAAGCTACACGGATTCATCATGCTGCAATGCAAATTCAGGTGCCCTGAGCATAGCAAGCGTGCTGCTCGCCTGCTCTACCCAAAGGCTCTGGGCGGCTGCGCAGTCTTCAGTGGCTTCCTCCCCTTCGACTCATCTTCCTCCTCCTCCTTTGCTGCCAGGGTGACAGACGAAGCAAAGAAGGTACTTCTACCACTGTGTTGTATGATCAATTGATCACTGCTGCAAATGTGCCCCTCATCTAGTACGTAGTATTTGCGTATGAGCCAGTGACATCGTGTATGAAGTGCAGACGCCTGTTTTGTGGATACACGGGGGAGCCGACTCGCTGATCCCGGTCCAGGAAGGGCGAGATGGGGTGAAGTTCCTGCGAGGACTCGGCATGAGCTGCGAGTTCAAGGTACAAGCTAGGTTCTGGCTCATGTCTTCTCCAATTAAGCAGAATCTGTTTGACCTTGTTGCGAATTCGGACGCAGGAATACGACAGGCTCGGGCACACACTGGCGCCGTACGAGCTGGAGCACTGCGAGCGGTGGGCGTCGGAGATCGCTCTGGGCGAGGGAAAGCATGAGCACGGACGACAAGGCCCGGGGGAGAAGAAGGGTGTCCGTCAGGGGACGGGGACGGGGAGCAAGAGCAAGAGCAAGTTGTTCTGCGGGGTTTTCAACCTCTTCTCCAAATAGCTGCCGCTGCTGCTTTGTTTGTTCTTGTTCCTACTGCTGTGATAAACCTTGTTTTGATTTCTTTACTTGCCTTTTGATAATCAAAAAGTGTTCCCCATTGTGAGAAAACAAAGTTCTGCTGTTTCAGTTGTGTCATATGATGTGCTGCAGCCTGCTGCCTGCAGGCCCTTCCCTTCAGGCTTGAGCTAATGACTGTTTGCTCTTCTGAGATCGATGGATTGTCCGTTGTTTTGTCCGGACCGGAGCATCCGGGTTGCCGAGCCCAGCCAGACGGGGACGGGCTGCACCTGCACTCGTCGGATAGACGCGCGGGCAAGCGGGCCATCACGATCAAGCCCACCACCATCAATCACCAAGCGCACACGCGACGCGCGCGGCCGTAATGGCGCCATCGTCATCGCGCAGGCGGCACTTTCCACGCCACACGCCACCAAGGGGAAGAGACGATCCGCTGATCGCCGGACGATCCTGATCTGTTCTCCAACAAAGCGGGCTGATTCCCGGCGGCACTCCCAACTCCCTTCCCCCCGAATCCCCGACTGACTCGCTGGCACCAACGAGCCAGTAAAGTAAACGCCTCGATGGCGGCGGCAGCGGAGCGCCCCTCGGCCGGCGGCTTCGTGCTGTGGCTCCATGGCTCAGGCGGGTCGGGCGACGAGAGCCGCGAGCAGGTCGCGCCCTACTTCTCCGCCCCGGGCATCGCCTCCTCCGTCCGGCTGTCCTTCCCCACCGCGGCCACGGCTTCCATCCCCTGCTACGGTGAGCGCCGCAGCACCTGCCTACCATCCATCGATCCAGCCAGCCCTATGATGTTTACTTCTTTTCCTCGTGATGAATTGATGATCCATGGGCCTCGCCGCACCACATGTTCTTTCTCTCTCGTGACGCCGCGCTTCAAGGATGCAATCTGCTCTGTTGCTTCGCGCTATGGCTGCTATGCAAGGCTCGTAAGTGGAGGAAAAGGAAATCCGCGCCCTCTCCTTTCTCTGACTCCGTTGCTCAATTCGCGATGGTGTTGCAGGTGATGCGGTGATCACGGCTTGGTTCGGCATCTCGGAGGTTCCTATTACCGCGGTATTGTATTCACCAATGCTACTCATTCTACAAGCATTTATTTTTATGTACTGTTGTTAATCATGCTTTCACTCGAATGTATTTTTGTCAGTTCACAATACCCTGTACTACACTAATGAAAACTGTATTGCTCTTCTTTGATTAAACAGCAGAAACAACAGAGTAACATAAGCACAAACTGGCATTCCCTTTTTCATAGAAGTTCTTATTTTCATGTGTAAGTTTTGTACCATTGTGGCATTGTCGCGTGTTGTAAATCAAGCTTTTCTAAACTCAATCCTATGGCTTACTCTGAGAACTTTCATGACTCTGAATGGCTGATCAGCGGGGTCACCCGCTAGTTCCAGTGTCCTGGATATACTGAATGCGGTGGATTGCCGTTAAACTGTCGTTATATAGACTACACTTTCATATAGAGGAAAAAGAAGAACAATTTCCATCTACATTCTGTACAGCTAATTGTTTCTTTTGACACTACTAACACATGGGCTTTGAATGATTTATTCCACTATTCCGATCTTTTTTCTTGTAGAAAACTGTTAGAGATGAGAAAGAAGTCCTTAAAGCTGTTGAGTATGTGCATGAATTGCTAGACAAAGAAGTAGCTGCGGGAACGAGTCCGTCAGACATTTTCGTTTGTGGGATGAGCCAAGGAGGTAAGTCACTGAGCTTAATGTGCATTAGTATTCAAGGTCATAAGATAGAATCAATACATATTATTATTTCTTTCATTTTCACAGGCGCTCTAGCCATAGCGAGTGTTCTACTCTACCCAAAAACTTTAGGTGGTTGTGCTGTCTTCAGTGGTTCAGTTCCACTGAATAAATCATTCGCTGAAAAGGTGTCATCTGAAGCTAGAAAGGTAATAACCCGCAGCCATGCTTATGTTCAGAACTGCATCTTCTTGACTCTTAAACCTAAATATGAACTCTTATTTCAGACGCCGGTATTATGGTTTCATGGAATGGCAGATGGGTTGGTCCTATTTGAAGCAGGACATGCTGGGTGTGCATTTTTAGAGGAGCTTGGCATGTCCTGTGAATTCAAGGTAATGGAGGACAGTATATATAAAGCTGTAGTCAATGCTCGCTTTAAACATTTCTCCTCCCTACAAGTGGTTCTGCAAAGTGCAAACATTTGTGCTCGTTTTCAAACATACCTGACTGTAGCTATTTGTCTGTTTTCCCAATCATCTAATCAGGCTTATCCTACCCTTGGACATTCAATGGTTGATGAAGAGCTCCAGTACTTTCAGCAATGGATCCTGAATCGTCTAGGGATGACTGTCTCTGGAGCAACTGAAACCGCAAGGCCATCATCGTCGTCTAACCACAAGGATCCCCAATAGCTGTGTTGTTTGTGATTGCATAGTTTCTAGTACAATTCATGGCTGCTATTTTTTATTATGTGGCACATCAGTTCTCGTTCTGATGAACTCAAATCTCGCTCTTAATCTCCTGCATATTTTTGAAAGAAAAACGGCATCAGATCAAATTTGAGTTTGTAGCACCACGTGAACGTCTTTTATAGGAGGATGCCAAAGGAAGGAATTGAATGCAATCCAGAGTTGTAACGTGATCCGAGATAGGTTTATGATAATAGCAGTAGTTGACTTCCATCGTGATTTGTGTCTTTGAATTTGATTGCTTGTACGTTGTTCCTTCTGAAAATAAAAAGATTCTTAAATTAACACTTATTTTTCGGAAATCACAAATTGAAGACCTTTTTTTAGTCTTTTTTTAAAATACATGCCGTATTAAAAGGTGCTACAAATTTAGGGGAATATGCTTGAGGACCAAACCATACGCCATCCCATGAAACTATGACAAGTTTAAGGAGCACTCCAAATTTGCTCTCTTTAGAATTTGGTACAACTAACTTCTACTGCAACTACCTTTTTTTCAACAAAAAAAATCCCAACTACAGACTACTATTGCTTCAAGTTCTCAGCGACGCATTTCGGGCCAGCTCAGCCCATGACCCATGAGTAGCCTGGTCCGCTTCCTCTTCACCCTCGCCGCGGCCACCGCCGCAGCCTCGCTCCTCGTCGCCTCCCTCCGCCGCCGCGCGCCGCCTCCCGGGCTTCCCGCCAAGCTCGTCCCCTCCTCCCACATGGCGGGACGCAACCGGAGCTTCGTGCTGTGGCTGCACGGCCTTGGCGACTCCGGCCCGGCCAACGAGCCCATCCGCAACCTCTTCTCTGCCCCGGAGTTCCGCCTCGCCAAGTGGTCGTTCCCCTCCGCGCCCCGCGCCCCCGTCTCTTGCAACAGTAAGTTTTACCGATTTGTCCACCCCCTCCTCTTCTTTTTCCCCTTCTTTTACTCCTGTATGTCAAATTGCTTCAAGCCAACGTCATCTGATACCGGGAGAATTATTTTTCCTGGCAGATGGTTTTGTCATGCCGTCGTGGTTCGATATCCATGAGCTTCCCATGAACGCTGTGAGTTCACTCCCTACCATCAGTAATCAGATAGCCCACTGTGGTAATGGAATTTTGATCTAGCTGCAATTTCGAACGAGTAGGGCTCTCCGCAGGATGAGGCTGGGGTTCTCAAGGCTGTGGAAAAGGTGCACGCCATGATAGACAGGGAAGTAGCCGATGGCATCCACCCTGAGAACATATTTGTTTGTGGATTTAGTCAAGGAGGTAAGATGAGCATTGATACATCAAATTGGTAGTTTTATTTAGAGGATAAATCTTTGGAAGTGTTGTAAATTAAGTGGTAGAATGTTGCTCTGCAGGTGCTCTGACATTAGCTAGCGTTTTGCGTTATCCGAAGAAGTTAGGTGGAGGAGCAGTGTTCAGTGGGTGGGTGCCTTTCGGTTCATCAGTCACTGAGAAGATTTCACCTGAAGCGAGGAAGGTAATCAGTACTTTCATCTCTTTGATCTTGTTTTTTTAGTTTAACGTGCAATCATAGGGTGCAAGAAGCTTAGATATACAAATATAGGTTGGTAAATTTGCTGAATGACAAAACTGGTGATGCTTGATTGTTGGTACCTTACCGTTACTTTTTTTTTGAACTAAATATGCACTTATGGAACACGGCTGGAAGCCTGAAATCTCTACCTATACCGGTGTGCCCCCTGCTTGCACATGGAATAATGTTGTATTTAAAGATTCTTTCCAGTTTTAGTTCAATTGCAGAAGCACATTGCATGTAATTGTAGCACTGGTTACTCGTCAGTGTTGTATAGTTTTAGTTCAATATATGTAATATGGACAAACCTTACATATCAAGTTTGATGCAAGTTGGCTCAAGTTGAAGGAAAGGAATATATGCTAGGGATTAAGATAGGGAAAAGGTTATTATAATGGCAAATATAATAAATCGAACATTGGATGAGGAGAACAAGATCTTTCTGAACAAGAGGATTTCAGAGGAATATATGCTTATTTAGTTCCAGAATAGCTAATTAATTGATCACTTGCTAAAGGTGGTTCTGAAGACATCTATGCTTATTTGGTCTTTGCTATTCTTATGGCGCCTGCAATCCTTATAAATATTCAGTAGGGCCTTCCCCTTCTGTTCCCCTGAAAGAAGGATCAGACATTACACGATGGAAACTATATTACACATCTAAGGATCTCGTCAGGAATTTTACTCTTGAGATGTTTCTTCACAACTATCATAAACACGTAAATGATATGTTGTATTGTATCAACTATTGCATCAAGAAAGACCAATACCCATTGGGATAATATTAGATACCATTGACTTTTTTTATAATGAAATTTTTGGATGAAATCAGGAAGATTGCAGAGACTTGTTTGACTTGCAAAAACTAGCAAATAGATTTTAGCCATTGACAGATGCACTTACCTTGCATTCAGTCAACTTTAGAAATTTAGATGAGCTGTTTGCTGTAGGAATCTAAGTTTAAAAACAAATTTGAATTTTTAATGTGATCATTAGTTTATTTGACTATTCTTCTCATTCCTTCAAAATTTCAGACCCCATTTCTTTGGTCACATGGAATGGCTGACAAAGTAGTATTGTTTGAGGCTGGTCAAGCTGGTCCACCATTTTTGCAAAGTGCGGGTGCTAACTGTGAATTCAAGGTAGATTTCTATAATGCCCCCTTTTCTCTCACTCCAAAGGACCTTCAAAGTCTATTTGAGCTCTGAATTTTCAGTACCCAAGATCTGAAGTTATCGTTTGCATTTTTACAGGCATATCCAGATCTGGGTCATTCCCTTTCCAAAGAAGAGCTACTTTATCTTGAATCATGGATCAAGAGTCGTCTAAATGCCTCTCAAGAGAAGGACGGTTGACTGATGCCATCATGCTTAAGTTGTATTTAGTCTTTATTATATGAGACAGATCAATTTGGCAACGGATAGATGGACTGATGGGACTTGGGAGTACTCAGCTACTGGTGCTGGAATTTGTTGTGTTTGCACGTTGTGGTGTACGTACTTGAGTAAAATAGTAAAATAAATACTCCATGTTCCTAATTTACTGTATCTATTCATACCATCAATCAGTGTCTCCCATTTTTGGCCCACTTCCATTCATTTCCGATCGATTATCGTTATCGGGTGCTCCACGCTTTGAGAAAGGGCACATGGAACTAGCTAGGTACCGGGATCTTTTGCTGGCCATGAATGGCACTTGTGATATCCCTGCCCCTGGTATCTCACAGACAAGGGCTGCAGCTCTAGCTTGTCTGCATGAACTGGTTTACTAATCTCATTTGGTTATATTATCTGGATCTTTTGGCATTGTGTAATAGAGCTGGTCCATCTTATTATTAGTTTCTCTCAGTGTCATTGGACCCTGTCAGGTAGAACGTATACGTGAGTTTTCATATTAAACATATTGGAGATACAAAGTTGATACGTAGTACATCGAAAAGTGAGACGTACATTTTTTGTTTTGTTTTGTTTTGTTTTTGAGAGAGAGTAGTCGATAAGCCTGAATCGCCTGGTCAACTAAACTGTCTTTGCTTTGCCTTTGGATTAGCATGTCCATTTGAAAGATCGAGAAGGAAAGGAACACCAGTTTTACCGGCTACTAACCACAAAAGTCCAGCAGGTGACCATTTCCTCATGCTGACCACTGACCATTTCAAGGCGCTCGACGAGCAGTGATCTATGATTGTAGCACACTTGGACTCCGCTGGGTGCTGAGTGCTGACATCTGATCCAGACATGGAGGTGTCAGCAGCTGAGATCTTGTGCTTGTTGCCTTCCTGATTTCTCAGGAAAAGCGACCTCCGTTGGTCTGTGGCGCTGAGCTGTGTGTGGATGCATCGTCCTTTGGTCTTTTCCCCCTCAACGCGTGGGAATGCAAAGCTCCAAAACACAGTCTCAAAAGTTCAGGAGCATGAACATGTGTCCGGGACTATCTGGCGCGTAGGATCCTTTACTGAAATTTCATAGAAGCCTCTGTTTGGAACTCGGAAACTGACTCTTTCTAATGGAAAAGATTTGTGACTGTTCAAATAGATGGAGATTAGCATTTCCTCAGGTCACAAGTAAGTAGGAGTAAATGCTTTTGATATCACCGATCCCCAAAACATAACTTTACTATTACCTTTGGTTACAAAATATGCTCCTACATAAGCATAGTAATTAGCAGCTCTACGAACATGCTTCCTCCTATATAAGCATTCAAAAACTATATCTACGTCCTAGTCCCTTTATCCTAAATTATAAATTATTCCAACTGTCTTGTAGAGTCACTGCTCTTCGCTTGAACTTATCAGCCATTTAGTTATGGTATAGTGTTTTCTCTCACAACAAATCAGCGAACAGTACTTTTCAGCCTAGCTTTTCAGCGAAGCGAACAGGGCTGACCAAATTTATATAATAAAATAACATTTATGATACTGAATAAGTCTTATTAGATTCTTTATTAATTCTATTTTTATAGTATATCTATTTGATGTCACAAATCTCTGTAATTCTCTCTATGATTTTGGTCAAACTTTAGATGCTTTGACTCTACGATAAAGTTTGAATGACTTATAATTTAGAATGAATGGAGTACAACGGATTAGGAGACAGAAGGACAACTTTGTATTAAATAGGAACATTATTGTTACCCGTCATTTGGTATCAAGCAATCCACCTTTGCTCATGCGGACACATCTTTATTAGGAAATAAAGTCAAGATAAAAGTGCCTTTTATGCTCTCACTTAATCTGTCTTAAAATCTGTATGATACATTTTATTTCTGGAGGAAGGGGTTACATTTTAAGGCAAATGTATACGTATGCTTTTAAAGTATCCAAATTTAACACACAGGGGCAAAGAAAATGTTCATATTAACAATAAAAAAAACTAAGGCAAACATCACAAAACATTAGTGCATACATTTTGTCATGTTTGCCTTAGTTTTC